ACACACCATTTTGCCTAATAATTAGGGCATGCAAAAAGCGTGAATCTATCAGCTCCATGATTTTCAATACATATCCGTCGATATCTTGCATTTGTGGTTGTCCCCAATCATCTTATGTCGTGATTCTTACCCTCTTGACATTTTAAGGTAGAGGTGATCTTCATATGGTTGAAATGTTGTCTATGGTATACCTTTCACTTCTCCTAAAGGAACAATATATGATCAGTGCTTTCCTCCTATTCTTATACAGGTTTATTACAAGATATTATCCTCACATTCAAACGTCAGCTTGGTAACACACACAATTTTGTTGAAGAAACTTTTAGCATCTGGAAGATGGAGGATGTGTATTGAGGTTTGTCTGGCTTGTTATGAAATATGAAGTGCTCAAGTGTTTTGTATATTCTTTTCTTGTTTTTTTTATGTTAAATCTTCATTTATTCTTTGAAATTTGAATTTGATAATCTGAATAGTAGAATGGCAGCATCATTCTTTATGCTTCTTGCTTGTGTTTCATGCATATGATTATATTTTAACTGATTTTTGTAGCTTCAGTATTGATGATTGGTTTCTTTTACCTCATATATATTATAATCTGAATTTTGTATTCTCACATTGTTTTTCATGTTAGATGAAGATATCTTTAATATCATAATCATGAACTACACAAATAAGTTCTTTATGCACAGGTTTTGCAGTGGATGGAAGATGCAGGAATTCAACCAACACTAAACATGTATCGCAGTGTTCTTTCATATGCTAGGAAGGACAACAGCGTGGAACATGCTAATCTCATCCAAGAAAGAATAAGTACATAAACTAATCTTAATGTCAGATCATTGTCTTTAATTTTTTACACTTCCAAGTAACCGAACTATTTTTCTCTGAACTTTGAATTGCTCTTGTCAAGCTTGTATGAAACTTTTACATTAGTAATTTTGCGTTTATCTTTTCAATTTGATTTTCGCAAGGTACTATATAAGGGGAAATGAAAGATGAATATGGAATGAAAATTTGGGAAATGAGAAAAATTTAACAGTCAACACAGTTATTATGTAAGCCTGTTCTTCTCCAGAACTAGTCATGGGTTAAAGTGGTGACATAATGAAAGTAGAAGTAGACACAGCATGTGAGTAGAAATGAACATTTGATATCATCTGACTTAATGTTTGGATTTGAAATGTCAGAATTTATAAGATTTGTTGATTTATGTGCTTATATGTGCCTTTCATTTTAAGGTTGTTGATGGTCAAACTGGGGGTTGCAAACATAAGCTGTTCCATTTAAAGATTTCGTCTAATAAACCTGGATCTGGATTGAGTTTGTGACTTGGTAGCTGATTCTTTGATCCAACTGCTAATTGGATAGCAGAGCTAGAATGACTAGGGTCAGTCTAAACTGGCAATGATAATTATCATATCTGATAGAAGAGAGGGGCCTTACGATAGAATAAAGTGGCTCTTTTACACCATTAGACAAATGTCTAAGGGTTTGACCTTATGTTATTGTAAGTGCAAGATCACCATCAGACGAGGTCTCATTGTTAGAGATGGTGGTGTCGGTGGTAGGAGGTGTTGGTAGCAAAATAGTCTTGTTCACTTAATATTTTTTTGTTCAAACATTGTGTTTGTTCATCAATCTCTGGGTTTTGTTTCACCTAGTTTCTTATTTCCTTCTTTTTTCTATTTTGGCAACCCATTGACTGGATCTCAGTTTCAGCATTTCCAGACCTAGAACTTGTCATGAAAGTTAAGGTGCACCATTAAAGGAGATTGTTCTAGACTTTTCAAGACTCAACCCTTGTTCATTTAACTGCTTTGTTTTTGGTTGAGGTGAAGATTTCTGTTAGAGTGCCTAGACTCCCCACATTGCTAAATTATGTGGTTCCATAAGTTCTGCTGGATATAGTTAAATATTGTATTAGTGCTTTCTGATATTTGTTTTTAGATAATTCTGTGCGACATTACTAATTTGAACAAAAAATGAAACTTAAGAGTTTCTTTCTGGTTTTGTGGCTTATTCTATTTATCCTTTAGTTTTGCTCCCATGATTTATTTGAACTGTGTGTATTTGTTATGCTCTGTCATCTCCCCTCATCTTCTGCTTCTCTTTTTTCTTGTACCCCGTTAGTTGGGCCAGTTGGATCATAGGTTATGGATCGAAATGCTGCCAATGCATTGTGTCTTTAGATTTGATATTTGGGATTTGGATCAGATACAAATATCAATCATGATATGATCCATTTACAGCCCTAAGTCGAATGATCATTATGCCCTACCTGCTGTTTTTTTTTCTGTGAAAAAGAAAATTCATCTCATTCTAGTCATCCAAGCTCCGGAAATCTTAGAATGCATGATACTGCACAAACCCTGATCAGCATGACCCAAATTGGCTAACCAGTCATTGGGCCTGTATTATCTTCCTATATGCATGACAAAAGATATAATTTATGCAAAAAATTTTAATAATTAAAACAATCATTAGTACATGGTAATCTCCATGGTACAAGTCTTAAGACACTGTGAGCAAAAGAAGAGTGGGCATTTACAATGTGGTTAACGATCTCAAGATCGATAGCCATCCAAAATACTTGTTTATTTGATTAGTTCTATTGAAGTTCCAACTAATGAAATAGGCACTAGAAGAAATAACTATTCATATTAGACTTTTTTTTTTCTAAAGCTATGTATTTGCAGATGCTTTTGAAATTAGAAAAGTGTTGTCCTCTTAACTTTGAAGTTCCCTGAAATCTAAGGTCTAAATAGAAAAAGCAAGATATGAGTTTTCTGAATTCATTAGTGTGCTATTCAGCAAATTGAATTTCAAGCAAAAAAATGCATATTCATCACCTTATTTGAGAGGCTTGTTGTTCCGGTTCTGGCTTTCATGCCTCTTTACTTCTTTACTAAACGCTACATCCAAGATCAAGCAAGGAGATTAAACAGCAGGGTGAATAAATTTTTGCTGCAGTCAATTTCATCAATGGAATAATTTTTTGTTTTTGGATTTATGATAAAGGAAATGTACCTATCCTGTTTTAGAAGACTAGACTGCTATCTTTGGAAGAATTTCCATGTTCTTGGATGCAATTTTTCTTTTGAAGTAGATTATAGTTATTGTTTCCTTCATTATCTATATCAAATTTACTCAGGAATTATGATAAATTAGTAAATGCAACTTAACAGTATCTTCTTCTTCGTTGAGAATGGACAGTACAATTTGTATCAGAACCAAGAAAATTATGTCAAGGACAAATACAAGTTATCCCCACAGAGGTTTTACAATTTGTTCTTGCATTCAGTTTTCTTTGTGACAATTACAAGGAAAAGTGAAATAAATGCACCCAGTGCTTCACAAGATTTAATCTCTCACTGTCTCTCTCTTCCCTACCTTTTCTTTTGATATAAGGAGCAACTTAGCCTATCATGTTTTGATGGATGCAGTGCTAACTAGGTGTGGCAACCTGTGTCAGTGTGTAACATTATGCACTACATCTTTGGTAGATGTCTTAGTGAACTGCCTTTTTAGAATTTATTTTAAAGAATAACATTTATTCGGATGCATTGACAGGTAACTTAAGAGGCAAGATCGACTAAGGCTTAACTAAGCTATGAAAATCGATGCCCTTTAATGGAAGGAGCAAGTGAAACCCAGTGGTCATAAGAATGCCTACTAATTTCCAGAAGTTGTACATTCATGTGAAAGGCATGAATGATCTAATGTCGGCACTTTAATAATACTCTAGCTGATCACTCAACTTTGGCTCTGGGAGCCCTAGGGTTTCTTTGTCTGCAACTGTTCATCTTGGTAGGAAAAGGAAGAAGAGTAAAAGAGAAGAGGAAGAGGAGATTCCTCTCTTGTTCCTCGCCTGAGAAAGATTATATGGTAAGTGCCTCATTCGTCCTTCTATTTTCTGTTTTTGGTTCTTTACTATTGATACCGATTGGTGCAAGATGATATATTGGCATATCACAATATTGTACTGGTTTGGCCATAGGAGACATTGAATAGTTTGGTTCAAAATATTTAGAAACCAAATTGTATATGATTTGGATGGCCTTTAATGTGGTCATCAAACTAAGATGATGAACAATATTAATTTAATGCATGAAAATTGTTCATGCATTAAAGTATGATTTGGCTACCTTGCAAATGATCAAACGATTGACCATGATCTAAATATTGTTTTATATGTACAATAACTCATCTGTTTTTTTAAAATACAAATGTATTCTGTGCAGTTAAAAAAAAAAAGACGTTTTTCTCCACTTAGCGCTTATGTTAGAATGTCTTCAGAAAAGAAATCTTTTATAATGTATTGCCTTTTCAGCTTTGATTATGTTTTTGAGGTGACAGGATTCAGGTCTTCATCCTGCTGACGATATTCAGGTCTCTCTCTCTCTCTCTCTCTCTCTCTCTCTCTCTCTATATATATATATATATATATATATATATATATATACACACACACACACAGGTTGATGGATATGCATACAGACAGCATTTCAGATTTAATCATATATGTTCTCGTGAGATCTCTGCACCACAAGAACTGCAGGTGACTGAAATAGTGTGTTCACTGTTATAATGTACTGATATACACCATTTGAAACCATTTTTCAATTGCTACTCTAGACATGATAACTTTATCAAATTTTTTGTTCCAGTAGAGCATATACTAATCTTCTTTTCGTCTCCTCAAGTGGTTATCATCTTGTTTTTATTGTAACAGGGACGAGATCACCATCTGTCATGTTGATCATCTTACTTTGGCATTGTCAAAGTAAACAAATATCACCAGGATCTTGGTGGAAATATATCCATAAGATGTTGATTTCAGCTACCCTGGAACAAGATAGCTAATCATCAATTTGGTGCAATCCCCACCAGATGAACCAGTGATCAAGTCATGAAGGAAATCTTTATAAAAGTATGCTAACAAAGTAGAAGATTTTTAAAATGTCTAAATGTGCCTTATATTCTGAATATTTTTGATAAAAATGTATGCAATGCTGATCCTGTTGCTGACATCAATAAGCAGTTTGTGTATGGTTTCGGTTGTAGGTCGATGGAGTTGCTGAATACACTGGCAAAAGATGAGAAATTGGAAAGGTAGCAATCCTGACACTGTATAATGGCTGTTATTATTTGCTGTTATTATTTCTTTAGATGCATAATGGACATTTATGGAGCTGTGAGAGTACAATTCGTGACATCTCAACCTGCCCCATAGGCATGGAAGGTTAGTAATTTTTATGAATATCCACAACCTATGGTCTAATCAGGTTTTAGTTGATCCAAATATACAACTAATCTCTGCATCTGCAGTGACAACAAAAAATTGGCAATATTAGTCACAGAATCAATCAAATTGCTGTGGATACTAATTTAACATGTAAATAGCAAAGATAAAAGGGTAAAGATATCATGTAAACATGTCAATTGGTAGTATTAACACTGGCAATTAGTTCCTGAAAATAGTCACCCGTTTAGCCATGCATATGAGCAGTAGGAGACTACTCTGATAATTCAGCTTTTTACAGTGCGATCTTAATCATCTGATAAACTTCGTGTCCACTTTCTAGAACATCATCTTCACCCCAATGCTACTTTTGTTGCGGAGCTCATCCAATAAATACTTTTGTACATTTGCTTTTTTTTTCTTCTAACTTTGTTTGCATTAGATTCATCATGTCAACAACATATTGCAACAACTTAAGCAGAGTTACTGTAAGCCAACAAAAATTATACTCAAGTTTGTTCGTTTGTTTACCTGAGCTCATACCCATATGAAAACGATAACGATGACAAACACTTATATACTTATTGGTTCATGAACTTTATCATGCCTCATTGGAGTTTGACTTACAGTGGTAATTTCCTATCAATCTCTTGTTTTTGGTGGAAGTTGTCTACCTTTAGAGATGATACTTTTTGTTATATCTATAGTAAAATTTGTAACTAAATACAGATATGAAACATAATAATCATGGTGACAATTTTTAAGTATAGTAAAAATTGTTGACGAGCATGTTGGAAAGAGGAGCGACGGGTGAGAAGGTGCGACGAGCGATCGATGATCAAGCACAGGTGATGAAAAGTTTATATGAAATTAATAATTTAAATATAGTAAAAATATATTTTTATCTTTTTCGTGCATAATAATATAACAAACCATATTATACCTATACTATTATGATCTTAGAATCCGGTGTGGGCCCTCGCAGGGTCCATCTACTGGGAAAGAAGGCTTGCCTCTAAGAGCCAAGTTGGCCGCTTCCGCTCCTCGAGCCACCGTGACACTAAAACCTTTTTGCTGCTCCGTTCTTCATGTACGTTTCATCTCCATGACTCTTCATTCGAGTGATCATTCTTTGTCTTCGTCTTCTAGTGCTCTGCACACGAACGATCGGTTTTTGGTTCGAGATCTCGATATTGCACACCTAAGGAAGTTTCGCCAGTAGCATGGCGTCCACCTTCGTCGCTGCTACGGAAGCAGGCAAGGATCAGCAGCAACAGCACCACGGCCGCGAGTGCAACCAGCATCAGCGGGCAACTCCTTCGCCACGGACCCAGAGGAGGAAATGGTCCTCCGTCTCCTCCGCCGGCGCCAAAGTGCGTGTGCGCTCCGGCCACGCACGCCGGGTCGTTCGAGTGCCGTCTCCACCGAGTCAGCTCTCACGGCCGCTCCACAGCATCGTTCATCGCCTCTCCTAATCACCAGCCGCCCACGTCTGTTTCATCCATCCACACCCCTATTGCATGAGAGCTATCTGCTTCACTTGGCATGTGAGACTTCGACTCTGCAACAGCCCGAGAAGTGCAATGAAAAGAGTTTGCTGCAGTGAGTTCTTAAACAGATGATGAGAAGCTATATAACAAAGATGAAGACATGAGCTGAAATTTGAAAACACAATTAGAAGGCAGTACATTACGTTTCAATACAGATGCAAAGCCTTTAACTCAAGAAAGCTGAAATGGTAGCAGTGATACTTCATACACTAATGGCTTGCTGAAATAAATTAGCTCAAGCAAAAGAACAACTTTCCTCCACAAACTATGCTGGAGAGCTCCAAGTCAAAAAGCTTACACAGCATGAAAAATCAATATATGATTCCTATGTAGCTCCTTCACTGTATGAAAAATAAAAAATATTTATTTATTTATTTTTGAAAAGATGTTTGAAAAAGACAGCACTAAAGCGCCTTTCGTATATATATATAAATATATATGTATACATATATGTATATGTATATATATACATATATATATACACACACACACTCTCATGTAGCCATATCATTGACAGGACTGATGACAAAGTCAAGAATGCTAACCAGCCTTTCCAAAACTCCTATTAAGTGCCATCTGTAGAACACACTGCTGTTGCTTTACAACCAGAACAACAATTACCAACTTACAAGATAGTAAGTGAAGTGTATCCATCTCTTCTGTTGCTACTGTAATGAGCTACTATGAGCAATCTGTATCGACAGGTATATGGAAATTATATGCCAGTAATCCTTTCTGATGGTCCAGAGTTCCAACAGGGTTTCCACAAAGATAAATGGCAAACCTGTCCTGTAGAGGCTTTGTGCAAGTTCGCAGTCTTGACAGCAGAACTTTACATCAGAAGCTTTGTAGAAGCTTTCTGATGGTCCAGAGTTCCAACAAGGGTTCCACAAAGATAAATGGCAAACTTGTCCTGTATAAGCTTTGTGCAAGTTAGCAGTCTTGACAGCTGAACTTTACTGTACCAGCTCTACTCTGGCCGTGCTCAAGACGGTCATATTTTGATGCTTCTGCAACTCCCATTTCAAAATGAGTGCATAGAGTAGCTCATTCCATGTATCTGGAACCCCGGGTAAGCACCAGTGGCTGCAATCCTGCTTGTGGAGGGGGGCAGGTCCTGAAGAACCAAGGTAGAATACTGATAAATGGCCATCTCTCCTTCGAGCTGTCATCTGGGTTATGTTCAGCAGATCCAACTCTAGTGCCTGATTCATAGTTGAATTTGACGAGGGCATATTCCTAAACGGTTCCAACAGATGAGCCCATGCTTTTGATGATACTGTAGATGAAACTAGATCAGGAAGTGTTTCTAAGTGGCAACTCCCTCCTGTTTTCCAGTCCCCACCTCTGCAACCAGTCATACAAACTTCTTAAAATCTTTTCTCACTAAGAAAATAATTACTTTGTAATAAATGAAAACTATTAAACAATCTTTTGGGAAGAATGAAAATTTTATTTGTACAAACCTGAAATGAACAGGAGCGTAAGTGCGAAAGACAACATGAGTCTTGCTCTTATCGACTTCTTTATGGATCCATTCAAATAATGTTCGAATTGATCTCCGAAAAGCATCATCAACACTCATCTCCATCTTCACGTCATTACCTTCTTGGAAGTAGCAACCCCTGAATCAGAGAACATACTTATCATAAGCAAAAGACTAGTCAAACCTATTGTCTATACTTCAACATCCCCAAATATATGTATTGTGCATGAAAGTACTAGTCCTACTCAAGAAAAACTTCAAGGCTCAAGGATATTTTGGGTCATGGGAAAGCTATTGTAGAGATCGAATGACTCTATTAATTGCCATATCTCATCTTTGTTCCTTCATGTTTTTTTTTTTCTTTTTCATCCATTTTGTCCAAAAGACAACAGAACTAGATGTAGCACTTGGAGGTTCTTCTATCATGTAGACAAGCAAAAGCAGGCCCACAAATTGAGTCGTATAGAAATGTTTGTATGAACATATATAATTTTTATATAAGTATCATTGTAAAACGAATATAAAAAATAGTGTACATATAGATGGGAAGATAAATTAGGCTAGAAAATAAAATAGTGAGGCCCTATGTAATAATGATATAAGTTGCAGTGATAATAGTAGAATACCTCATTCCCCACAGATCATAATTCACAGATGTGAAGAATATCCCCATCTTAGTTCACTCAAGATAGGACATATTTAGGCAAGATGCAAATGTGATTATAACTATATACTCACCCTCTAACAGTCTTCTCGTAGTTCCACCAATGCCCGGTGTTAAAGACAAGCACATCAGCATCTTTCCACCTGGTGGATGTCCAATCCAGGACATCCAGTCGAAGTGTAGTCTTAATTTGCTCCGGTAACCCTGGTGGGACACGGCTCTGGAGAACCAGAAACGGTGACCTGTAATACTCCACAGTGCAATTGTATTCTTCAAATTTGAAAACCAAGAATCCCATATGTTTTGTAATTGGGCTACCATTGACTTCATAGATCGAGCTCTTGTTAGAAACCACCATGGAAAGCATGCAGAGGAGGGACTCCCATTGGTTCCTCCCTATCGAATCACCAACAAACACCAACCTTCTGTTCCTTAGCTTCTTCAGCATCTTCTTTGCATTAAATCTGACATTGGATATGAAGAAAAAGATATAGAACGATTAAGCACTTTTACATTATTACATATAATCTCTATCTAACAAACTTCAATTTTAATTTATCGATAAAAACATTATTAAAGGCAAAGTGAAGTCGTGCCATCACATCTGCACAAGTATCACCATGGCAATGGCTCAAAAACTAGCCACTTTCTCCACGCAAAGGTATAATGCATATCTGACTTCACTACTCATTGCTAGTCAGCATGCTTTGCAACGAAGATCGGTCTCACCGGCGAGGGGAAAAAAATATATCAAATTTAATATTTCAGGGTCTACATCAAGGATTTTAATGCCACCAGCACAAACTGCTGGAAAATGTAAATAGGTCTTTTTAGCAAAGATGTAAATTTCATATTTGAAGAATTGAAGGTGAGTTAAATCTGAAAAAATTGGTGAGTGCCAAAACTCTTTTAGCGAAGATCACGGAGTCAAACAAGATTTCTTTTTTATCATTAGCTAGTGCTTCCACAACCATGTCAACGAAAACCAGATTAAACCAAATGGTACTTTGCATTAATCCCACCAACTCCAGTTGGCAGCTAACAATTATAAATGCACCGACAACAGAAGGCGACATGCAATTTCCTAATTCATATTCTGAAGAGTGAAGACTCACAGAGTGAAACCAAAGTTCAGCGTTCTGATCTTCTCTGTCCTCTTGGCTTGGAAAATGGAAAGATAGGAAGCAAAAGGATGTGGCTAATAAGAAAAGGAACGATTTTTGCAACTAGAAATTAGACAATAAACCACTAAAATAGTTCAGCTCCTGATCGAAGAGAAACCCTAGAATAATAGAGAATAGGAACGATAGAGCAAAAAGAATGGAGTAGGAACCTGGGAAGATCACAGCCAGCGGGCTGCCACCGCCACTTGGTGTAGAATCGATCGGGTCGCCCGTTCTCCGAGCAGCGGAAACCCTCGTCCATGAAACCACAGTCCTTGGACTCGTACAACGGATACTCCTCGTCCCACACCCACCCCCCCTCGGACCAATCGCATTCTCCACCGCCGCCGCCGTGGCTCTTCCCTCTCTCCCCACCGCCACCCTTCGTCCCAGAGATCCATAACCCCCGATACCCTCCGCCACCGGGCCACACCCAGCTGTAGTCCAAGTGGGCGAAGCAGAGCAGCGAGAGGAACAGGACGGCGGTGAAGACGACGAACCCCAGAAGGCCGACATGCTCGAAGGGCTTCACTCGCCTCACCAGCCTCCCAAGCGCCTCCATGCCTGCCTCCTCTGCCCCTCCTCCTCCTCCTCCTCCGCCTTCCCCCCTCCTCCTCGCCGGCGACCTCGGCAGCAGCGGCAACGAGTTTCTCCCAGACGAGACGCGGCCCGAGACCTCCATGAGCACTTTGGACCTTCTTTTTGTGTGCGGGAGTGGGAAAAAGCAAGCGGAGGCAATCTAATCTATTTTATGGAAGAGAATGAGTTGGAGGGAGGTAGGTTGATGTAGAAGCAAAGCAAAAGAGGACGGCCGCAGGGAGCACAGGCTACCATGGCGAACGATGTTCTACGCTTCTCTTTTTGCTGTCAAAACTCACTCTTGTCGCCATTAGCGACTCATCGTCTTCTTTCGGCGGTCGGTGAGATCTGTAAGCGTCTCGCGACAAACTCGCTCGTGAAGCGAGTAAAAGCAAAAGCTGCACGGTCGAAGAAGACCAAAGCGGCTCCAAAGAACTCGCTCGTCGTGACGACGTGCGTCTACCCGTCAACAACGGCGGGTAATCGGAGTTCTTGTGCATGTGGGAGCGGATCGGGTCAATTCATGTCCAATTCGGATTCTAATCGGGTCGGATGTTTATAATTGAACGATGGATCCGAGTTATGTTGCACGTGACCGACTGCGTGGAGGTAAAGAACTCGAGTCTGATCGTGTCAATCCAACATCCAATTCGGATCCTAATCGGGTCGGATGTCAGAATCCCTAATAATTGTCCTATCGGAACCATCAACGCACCAAAGCGTCGATACCAAGTTTCTCACCGTCTGGTTGTGTGGCTATCTCCCTCTCTCTCTCTCTCTCTCTCTCGATCGATCGATCGATCGACCGAAGGCAGCCTTGAGGCAGAGGAATGCAGGACTGAGGACACGAGGTCAGTTTTCTGCCCCTATATGGTTTGATTTCTTTCTGGGGTTCGCTATCTTCGAAGCCGTCACCGTTCGCTTTCAGTGTTCGATTCTTTAGCATTAGATTCTTGGTTAGAATTTCTAGGTCTGGTTACAATGTTTATTTCAGAAGCGGATTAACTTGCGCTTTAATTGTTTGTTAACTTCTTTGTCGAAGCCAAATTTAAAATTGGGGTTCTTGAGTTGATTTTGTTTGTGTACTGTGTTCGATGTGTGGGTAAGTTTTCTGTGGTGGTCGAATTCGGATACGTTAGGGTTTTTTCCTCTCGTTCTCTCGAACTAGGAAGACTCTGTGACGAGGGAGACGCTGCCGTTGGCTGCCTAATTCACTGTCACATAACAATAGCTTTGTCTGGGCATCCGATTAAACATGTCTCAGATGGATGAGCTTCAAAGGAGTAGGATTCTCGCCTGCGTCCAGGCATTCTGCGCTGCAAGATATGCCAGGGAGGACAACGTTCCTTGTCAGATTGAGGAGGTAACGTGAGAGCAAAAGTGCAATCGAATACGAGATTATTAGCTTTTCTAAGGATTTAGATTTTGGAACTGATATTGATACTTGAATATCTTTGCCGGCTTCAATTGCCTCAGGGTTTGTTTTTGGGTTCAGTTGGCGCAGCGCTTAACAAGTCAGCGTTGAAAGACTTGAACATCACCCATATCTTAACAGTGGCCAAATCCCTGGATGCTGCATTTCCTAACGACTTCGTCTATAAGAAGATTGATGGTTCGATGAATTGTTTTGTGCATATTAAATTGGTTGATTGCATGACCCACAACTAGAAAGTTTCTTGATTATTGCCTTCTTAACATGTGCTTTAATATGAATATTGGGTTACCAATAACTAATATCTTGCTTGTATCCGAGAACTTCAAATTTGTCTATTTTGTTGCTTTGGGGGCATTAATTATTGAGATTCACCACTGGGCACCATCTGTTATTTGTATTTATTCTGAAACTTAATTTCTGATAATTTGTGTTACTATTTCAGTTCTTCATATTAGTTTTAGTTTTGCTTTATTGTGAGTCCTCAGTGATGTTCAAGAATTGCTATCACTAAATTTTCTGTATGATTGTCAATGCTACTATGATCTCTGGTTCTCATCTCGTAGACTTAATTTAATTTTGATTTAACAGTCTCCATTTGGTCTTGTTGAAAGTAAAAGAATGTCAATTAAAGTTTTGTATGCTCCCTGAATGTCTAGAAATTTGAATATCTAATCCCTCAAAGACTGAATATTGCTTTGAAGACTGATTATCTAATCCCTCCTACCATACTTTTCCTTTCTTTTCTCTTGTTAGTAAGTCCAGCAAACCAAAAGTTCCTTTCTTACTGGTTTTTTTTATCAGAGTTGTCATAATTGTTGATCTTTTATTAATTATAATTGATCTTTTGATACTCTTCCAAGACTGAATAGATTTCCTTTAAAACCATGGAGGATTTGTAACGATGCCAGATTGTGTTCTTTTGCACTGAATTCTGCTGGATTGACTCATGTAACGGTTGCATCAAAGTGTCCTGAGCTGAATCGTACTGACCCAACCAGTATTTTGGCCTTTGACCTTTACAAGAAGGCTAAAGTAGGACCGCTTAGGCCCTGACTATGCCCTGAGCTGGCGGAAGAGGGTCTGAAGTTGGGCAACATTGCAACTAACTGTGACCTGCATTGTTCAGATCCAATGTGTTTCCTATTCTTGCAAGTCAGGTTCTCTTCCATTTGGCATCATATTGAAAAGCTTTCAGATTCTTTCCTAAGCAAAGGTTCAATTCGACAGTTCAACTATAACGTAGAGCAATTTTTTAAAGCCTGATTTCTGATATAGTCAGATTGAATTCGTATTGGTTACTTGGGAATGATTACAAACATATCTATCACCAATTTAATATCTGCGAGTTATGTCATTTAAATTAGGTCTCTTCTCTTGCTTATGAAGGTTGTTTCTGTTTTGATTTCCTTATCATTATATATTATATAATGAATCTAATGTGCCCTTCTTGTAAAGATGATGCAAAACATAGAGATGTTTTATTTTGCCATTCGTTTAGGGTGATTGCGAAGGATTCTCACTCCATCTCTATCCCATAATTGGTAGCAATAAAATGTCAAGAAGTTCTAATAACACTTTTATTAAGAAATAAGTTCTTTGAAACCAACATATGTGCATTTCTTATCCCTCGATAAATACACAACTTACTTTAAGTATATAAAATTCTTGGACTAATTTTTTTTTCCTTTTTTATTGTATCTAGTGTTTGACACCCCAGGCACAGAGTTGGTTAAGTATTTTGCTGAATGCTTTAGTTTCATCGATGAAGCTAGAAGTGCAGGTGGTGGCGTGTTGGTTCATTGCTTTGCAGGAATGTCAAGAAGGTAAGTTTGTTGTTTCCTGCTAATCTGGTTTTAAAATATTATTTAAAAGAATAATGGAGTAATTGATTCAAAATTGCATTGTGAGTTTCAAACTCCAAGGTCTTTTATAATTTTGCATGAAGCTAACAACCGGATGCAAAAACAGTATTTTTCAGGCCTAAAAGATCTGGATTCACTTGTATTTATTTGTCTGAGATCATACTTAGATCAATTATTTATCTGAGTATCCTCAAAACAACCAACAAGAATGTTTCAAGCATATTCAAACACACAATTTTATTTACATAATTCTTGATGCATAACAGATGTGCAAATATTGATTACAATCAGAATATAAATGTGTCGCTAACTTGATCAACCATCTTCATTGAAGACTATGTATCTCATCATTTCCTAAAGGGTCTTAATCATCAAGGACTAGTATTAGTTAAAATTGTTAGTAGTACATCATCTCAGCAATTAAATCAAGGTTGCATGATGAAATTCAGGTTGCATTAATATATAACTTAACTAATCTAATAGTAATTTCCAAGATAAAGTTTGGCAGGATTCAAATGCAAATCCTGGTAAGAAAGCACTATTGATGGTGGTTCCAATGGAGATTCATAATTGTGCGTATTTTCTCTTTGGTTCATAAATTTACTAGGACTCATCAAAGCATATGTTAAGTTTCAAATCTTGTATGAGATAGTTTTGGTTGACATATGATCGTGTAGGCTTACTGTAGTTGGGCTTCAGCTCTAGTTTGTGGTACAGGTATTCGTACTAGGTATTACATTTATATTGATATGCAATATGAGGAAGGTAGTCATATTTGGGTGGCTATTCTGAGTCATCATTGTTTGTGATTCTCATTTTACGTATAATTATCATTTTATGTGGCTGGAAGTAGCATCAGATCTCCACAGCAATTTCATTGTATGTAATGTGATACATTCAAACTTCTTTGGATGTTGTATTGCAATTCATGTGGCATATAGTTAGGTATCTTAACAGGAAACATGTTTTCTTGGCATGCCAGTTGCGGTATGCGATACTTTTTTGGCAGCAATCTTGAAAGACTCTGGATTGATGCCAAATGCTGTGGGATTAAATTAAAGAATAGATATTTGGAAATCTTCATTTTGTGGTGTGGAAGTTCTAAATATTTGAAAAAATATAAAACTTGCACATTTTTTTTCTGTAATCAACTAGCTGCTAATAGTTATTTTACAGTGTCACTGTTGTTGTTGCTTATTTGATGAAGAAGCATCGGATGAGTCTTTCAGATGCATTGTCACTAGTTAGGAGCAAACGACCACATATAGCCCCTAATCATGGTTTTCTTACTCAATTGGCGAACTTCGAGAAATCTCTTGGAGGTAATATACAGATACAATTCTTTTTGATTTAAAATATTTATGATTTAAGATATTGTTCCACATCATTTCTATTTGATGTTTTGGACATAAAATAAGAATTAGTGACTTATGAAAATTCATACTGATTTGTTTTCTTTTACCTTGAAGATGTTTCCATTGTTTCAAAATTTTGGAAGCTTTAACTTTGTGCTTCCAAAAATCCTAGGGAAAAAAAGCAAGACTCTGACAGCAGGATACTTGAGCAGGATACGGGTGCTATTCCACATGAATAAACTCCTGGTATGCACCACAATCTTTGTTTTTTGTTACCAAAAGTTTGATACAAGAAGTTTTTATTTATTGTTTTCAGAATCCCTCAAAAGCAAGAAAAAAAAACATATGGGGCTTGTTCGCTGAAATCTAGTTCCTTCATCTTTTTTGTTATTTGCTTTCTACAATCTGGATGAGGGTGCTAAGTGATGTCTATGCTAATTACATGTTGACTGCATAAAATTTTGATCATCATGCTATTTATCCATTTGTGCGTCAGCATCACAAGGTGGAACAGACACGACAAGCAATCTGTGTTAATATGTAGTATACTTAATCATGGACAACTTATTTATTATCTGAATGCTTTAACACAAGTGTCCTAAAAGTTGCTGATCAAATTTTCTTCATATTAAACAGTGAATCAAGGTACGAGTTCTAGGCTGATCCAAAAGTCAACCTTTGGAGGTTAGATTTCTTTTGGGACATTTTGAAAGCTTTGTTTTGTTAAGTTACTGTGAAAGCTCTGTGGGAGCCGAAATGCTCTCTTATCGAAGGATTTCTTGTACATGTCTTTTGGAGAATAAGAGCATGCGATGGATGGACTATTGGGACTTAAATGCCAACACCTCAGGTTCTTCACCAAGGCCTAACTAGGTTGGATGTATTATTCTTTTCTACAAACAAATTGCTCACATGTACTTGTCATATTATTGTAATATACTTGCTTTGATCGCATGACACAGCAGAAATCCCTCTTCTAAAGTGACATTATGTATGTAAAAAAATGTGTTCTTTTCCAAGTTGAAATGATCCGCTCAGTATATTTGTATGTTGTGTGAAAAAGCAAAAATGTTCACCATATTGTTGTTATCATAGTCACCTTTGCCAGAAGTTTGTGATGGTAGAAGACTCCTAAACGCATCTCCTTTACTGCTGTCATGATAAATAGTTTTAGATTATTATTGGTGCTATTCGAACCCTAATCGGAGTTGGTTATGTTGCAAGCTGGGGTGATAAAATTGCATTCTTGTCATAATCACAACTAGGAATGAAGCAGCATAAATTGGATGCAGAGCCTAAAAAAGCCTGATAGCAGGAGGTATGACATCTGTTCATGCTATATTTATTCATAAAGTGAGCAGTAAAACAACACAAATTACATTATTATTTTGAATATCTTTATGTGGAGGTATCAACTTGTGCAGGATTTTTAGGTAAAACCTATGCTCCATCACAGTTGGCATGAATCCAGTGCAGGTCCTCTCTCTTATCTCTGTTGTTTATATATCTTTGCACATGAAAGCCTAGCGTATATTAATTAATATATGTAAATAATAATAATAACTATTTGTTTTGATAAAGCAAAAAAAAAAAAAAAAAGAGGGAAAACTCTCGCCTTCCGCTTCTCAAGTAGTATCAGAATAAACGTATGCCAAAATTTTCATTAGATATGTAAGATGAAACAATATCTAAAAATTACTGCATCTTGTTTAAACTATATAAATCAAGATGCAATTGGAATCTACACTGAGAAATGAGCTGATGATATGAGGATGTGATTATTTGACGTGCAGGCCATGCGTCCATGGAGGCATGAGTCGGTGGAAGGAAGGAGGGAGGGGGGTTCACGGCAGAAGCGCTTGCATGCTTAGGGTTGGGAGAAACCCGTGAGAGCGTCAATGTGGAGTGAATGCCACGGAATGAATCATCATCGTCTTCCTCGCGACTGAAGTGACTCACTTCCTTATCAATGAAGCCGGTCCAAGTTTGTGATCAGCGAGTGCAGTCAAACCCACCCCTTCTCGTGCGTGCGTGCGTGCGTGCTGTCGTGGCCACTCGGAGTAGTAGCTGCCACTCCGCTCACGAGGGCGCAGCCACGCCATTGAATGCCCCCTCGAGGTCCGCAACCCCACTCCACTCTCTGCTCCCCCTCCACCCTGCCTGCCTGCATGCATGCACCACCGGTATTAATATGTGGTCATGGTTAGGGTTTCAGCTGCAGTTCCCCTCCCTCCCTCCCTCCCTCCCCCCGCAGCCATGTCCCACATCGCCGTCGAAAGGAACAGGAGAAGGCAGATGAACGAGCATCTCAAGGTCCTGCGCACCCTCACCCCTTCCTTCTACATCAAGAGGGTAAGTAAACCACGTCCTCCCTCGTTGCTCTCCGTGTTTCCTGATGTGCGCTCACCGATTGATTGGTTGATCTCTGTGATGTGCGATAAGGGAGACCAAGCATCCATCATCGGAGGAGCCATAGAGTTCATCAAGGAGCTGCAGCAGGTCCTGCACTCCCTGGAGGCCAAGAAGAAGCGTAAGAGCTTGAGCCCCAGCCCCACTCCGAGCCCACGGCCGCTACTCCAGCTGACACCGTCACCGACGTCCAGCAGCCCCGACACGGTCAAGGAGCTCGGCGCCTGCTGCAACTCCCCCGTCGCGGATGTCGAGGCCAAGCTTTCCGGCTCCAACGTGCTTCTGAGGACGCTCTCCAAGCGCATCCCGGGTCAGGTGGTCAAGATCATCACCGTCCTCGAGAGGCAGGCGTTCGAAATCCTCCATCTCAACATCAGCAGCATGGAAGACACCGTGCTCTACTCCTTCGTCATCAAGGTTTGCACCCTGCAACGAATCATCATCTCTCTCCTTTTCAGAAACCGATCATCATTTTTTTTTCTCCTCGATCATAAGACTTGTAGTGGAAGAGAAGTCTGATTCCTTATACTTCCTCGATCTCATGTTCTTGTTGTTTGCAGATTGGACTCGAATGCCAACTGAGTGTGGAAGAGCTTGCGTTAGAGGTCCAAAGGAGCTTTTGCGAAGAGATTGGGTACCCAAGAAGCTTAGGTGAATAGTAGTGTATGAGGTAGTGATCAATGATAAGTAATCATATATCTTTCACATATAAATGCTAAGCAAATAGAATTCCATTAGTGTTCTTAATCTCATCCATTGAGTTATGAGTGAGACATAGAATAGAAATCACATCGAAAGGATCAACTTTTCCTATTAATTCTTAATTTCTATGGGTGCATGACAAAATTATGGCCTTGCAATTGACCTGCTTTTTTTTTTTTTTGTGATGGAAGCTTAAGATCTATTGAGTGCATGAAATCTGCACTATCTAATTTCTTGAGTAATTCTGGTTTGTCTGCAAATGATGGGGAGAACAATGTTTTTATTAGGATAACATTGGTGCGTAGGATGGAGAGTGAGAAAGGATTAAGAATTTAAAGAGTTGGGTGATGTGTACTGAGTGTGATCCATAAGTTAACAACTTAAGTTTTTAGATTTTATTTGTGTTTGATAATGATCATCCCACATATGTAAATACATTTAATGTAGATACATTTAATTGGAAATAGTTTCCATTACAAGTTCTAGTGATCATCACAAATATGAGGTTCTTCAACTGTTGAGAGGACCAAATTACCAAATCCTTCATGTTTAAGGAACTTGGATGTGTTTAAAGATGCTTTCTATTGCATGGGAAGATGTGTAGGTTATAGATGGAGAAGTTTTGGGGATCCAATTATTGACTAAGTTGTAGTGAACTACTATGTTGACAGATAATTCTGACATATCTACTTAAGATCAGATTTAGTATGGGTCATAGGATTCATCAAATAAGATAACAAAATATGACAAATTGGAACCCTAATCCTCTTCTTTTAGTTCATGGGCTTGGAGGAAGCTACCTATGATCAATTGCAGTGGTTGTCATGCATATTAGAAGAATAAAGTAGAGCCTGTTTGATGAGAGGATATTTATTATCACACAAAATAATGAGAGAGAAACAAGAGATCCATATTTATTATTCACCCTATTACCGCTGTTGTTTTTGTTGTTGAACTTGAAACATCACAGTATTCATGGAGCCCTTAATTTGTCTTAATTCTCTCTCTAGAACCACTGTAGAGATTATCACTAGTAATTATTCTTGAGTTGATGTTACAGAAAAAGATAGCATTGTGTCTGACATTATGTTAGTTCATTTTGGATGATATTGTTATTTGTTATAATGTTCAGCATATTCATTAAATTAATGTGTTATATATATATATATATATATATATATATATATATATATATATATATATATATATATATATATATATATATATATATATATATATATATATATATATAATATGTGTATAAATAAAAAACAAATATAAATATGTGTCTCTCGTTTATATATAAAA